TCCTCCTCCTCCTCCTCCTCCTCCTCCTCCCCTCTCCCCTCCCCTCCCCGTTAGTTACCCCGCCCGTCAGCTCGCGATCCTTCAGGCTCCTTCTAAGCCTACCCTAGTCCGGTCCGGTCCCGCAGTTACCATAGAGACGGCGACGACGACTGAGGCGCCACCGCCGTCTGGTTGCAAGCCATGGGCCGGAGTCCGCTGCTGAGCTGTGCTGGGCTGAGCCGGAGGGGGCCGCGGTAATAATATTCCCCTTCTTCCTCCTCCTTCTCCTCCTTTCTTTCGCCCGAAGGCTCCCCAGAAAGAGTTTCCCCGAGTCGGTCCCGCTCGCAGGCTGAGGAGGCAGGGGTGCCGCTTGCGTTCCAGGTGAGAGCTCCTCTCCGGCCCAGCGGATCAGGGCGGGGGTCACCGAGAGAGGGGCTTCTGCGGGGAGAGGGAGCCTTGTTGACATTCCGCGGCACCGGCGGCCCGGGTGGCGGGAGGCCGCTTCTGCCGCGGCCGGGGCTCGCAGGAGCGACTGGCCGGTGGCGAGGATGCTTTGGGGGGACTGGCGGCGGACGGGCCTCCTTCGCCTCGCCCTTCTGGCGGCGGGATTGAAGCATCGTGGGGATGCGCCTTTGAAGAGGGGGAGAATGGGGGCGGTAGCGGCTTCTAGTAGACGAAGGTTGTTCGGAGACAGGGAGAAGGGCAACCTTTAGGGCAGCGATATCCAATAGCCTTCGATATATTGTTCAGTTTTACATGCGGGGACCGAAGGGGGCGGAAATGCTGCAATGAAAAAACCCCAAAACTTGACCCTTGCATGACAGGGGATCTGGCAGAGCCTGGCCCATCCTTTAATCTAGTTTGTCGGCTGGTCCAACTCCTGTATTTCCCTTGCGTGTGCGCGCCGCGACGGGGTAATGGCGAGATGGATCGCAGAAGTTTGTTGCCTCGAACCGATGAGATTATTGGCGATGCTACAACAGTTTGTGAGCAGCGTTGTAAAAACATTGTGAGCTCTGTGCGGTGTTTATGTGAACGATCTCATTTTCATCCTCAGGCTTGGTTGTTTCTACCTCTCTTTTATTGATGGGAACTAACTGGGGGGCGGATAGTAGGCAGTTTGACTTTAAAATCTGGCAGTGTTGATACAGTTATCTCTCTTTTATTCATAGAAATAAGCTGTAGCATGGAGGCAGATGGAGACTGAGGCTAAACATTGCTGCTGCAACAGCAGTTGCATGATGATATGAATACAGTTATACAGTATATACTTTCTTTTCAAAGAGACAGGTATGACCTTATTCTAAGGACCTTAAAATGACAACTGCCTGTAGTTGGAGCAGGAGAACATCTGTTTCAGAAATTACAGCCTTTTCCCTTTCTGCTATATGACAACAATACAGTGATTCTTAATATTAGATATGTATATCAATCAAGCAAAAGGAGTAGGTTTAGCAATATGAATTAAATACAGATATAAAAAGATGAGCATTTTCTGTATACAATATTCAAGGTTATCTGAGAGGTGTCATCTTAAATGAGTTAAGATTTTTATAATATGCACATAAGTTCATTCTAAAAACATTTGAAAGATTGATTAGGAAACTTCAGAAGTTGAAGATGATCAATAAAGTGCTATTGATTATAGGTATGTGGTTTGTAAGAAACAATGAATTGACTTGGGCTTTAGTTTGTGAAACAGTCTCTGTTCTTGACTAGTTATTTTCTTGCTGTACTGGATGAAGTATACTTCTTTTTAAAATCCTCTCTTAATGTTAACTTTGCTTATGTGATGGAGCTTAAACAAAAACTTGAAAACCAATTGGCAAGAAGCAAAAAGTTACTTGCAACTACAAACTGTTTTATTTTCATATTAACACTGAATAATCATAATGCATACCAAAAAATAGTGAGAGCCAATATTGCATCAGTGATCCCTCCCCTATCCCCTTTGTCTTAGTCCATGCTAACATACTATCATATTTGCTCTGGAGAGCCCCCCCCCCCCAAGAAAATATAAAATGCTGCAGTGGATAGGAAAAACCTGTTTTACTGATAGATACCATTCTATCAGTATGGAAAGATGAGAGGATACATGTTTCATTTTTCACACATTTGTAACATTGATCTTGACTTCTGATATTCCTATGCTTAAAGGTACTTACTCAGAAGTAAAGCTCATTGATTTCAATCAGATTTCCCCCAGGTAAATGTATAGATTTATAAGTTGTCCAACTTTCACAAGGAAATTGCTGTTTTGATGTATTTTCTGTAGTATTCTCAGTAATTCTGACTTTTAAGTGTCTGAGCTTTGATTGAATCATGTGTCCTGGATAGTTGTTCTTACCTTTTTTGGATGTGGGCTTATGCAAAGAGTGGAAGAAGTTCTTATGTGAATTTGTCCTGTCTGTATATATGTATGGCTGTGTGAGTGTGTGTGTGAGAGAGAGAGAGAGAGAGATTCCTCATTTGGCGCTCCTCCTGGAGATCAGAAAGCAAGGATGCTTACTGCATTAGGGCTGTATAAATCCTTCTCAGATCTGTGGAAGTGAATTACAAAGCACTTCTTTTCAAATTCTCAATTTTTGCATATTTGGAGGGCTGCTTTGGAAGCTACTCCTGGCTGTCTCTACATGGGTGTTTATGTACCCACTTTGCTTCATTTTTTCTCCCAGCATCCTTGTGGAGACAGCCAGAAGCAGCTACCAAAGTAGCCATCAAGTCAGGAAAAAGATGTGGCTCCATAAAAAATTTGAAAAAGGTGCTTTGCACATGCATCTGCATTTTTCTGAAATGCCCCTTTCAAAGGGGCAAAGTCTTACCAGATACTCTCATATAAAGTTTTTTACATTAGGAATGATGTGAAAAACTATAGGCGTTGGAGTCTCTTGTAATTAAGTGAAAATAAAGCTGGTTTGTAGGATTTCATACCTGATCCCAGGAAAGAATTTGGTATATTATCAACTTGAGGGAAGGGAATGTAATTTTTATAAGGGAAAATATGGGAAAACATGGAACAGGTGGAATAAAGGGAGAAAGAACAGTGTTTTGATAGATCAATTATATGAGCTGTTTTCATGGCTGGAAAATGTAGACACAGTTCTTGCAAGGAAACATGTTATTTATGTATTTCATTTATATACCACGTCTCTCAGCCATGAGGCCAGCCTGCAGTGGTTTGCAATAGAACATAATGACAATCAAAATAAAATAATATCCAACACAATTATGATAATGCAAACTAAAATCATCAGGATTATAATAACATTGGCTTCCAGCAATATGATCTAACCATTAAAGCACTCCTGAAGAGCTCCATTTTCATTGCTTTTCTAAATATCAGGAGGGACAACACCATATGGATCTCTGGAGGGAGGCTTTCCCAGAGAATAGGGGCTGCCCCAGAGAACCAATGATGCCTGCCCCTTTCTGAACCTAGTGTGGGGAAGGAACTCTCAGGATCCCCATGCAGGACATGTAACCAAGACTAATAGGTTTGATTTGAAGCAGATTACCTGGGATGCCAAACTTTGAATTATACCCCAAAGCCTATGGATAGACACCGCAGAGCCCTCAGCATCAGTGTAATATGCAAATAATGGCTATCATCTACTGACAGGTGGGCTGCTACATGTTGAACCAACTGTGGGTTCTGACAGTCTTCATGCAGAGTCAATTAAAGTGATATGTACAGGAGGTGACAAGCGTGTGAGTTACTGTTGCCAGCCTATTTCTCCAAGAAAGGCTGAAACTGGCATACTAGCAGTAGCAACTTGCTTCTTCCCATTTGGACCCTGACAGCCTACAGGAATTTGGTCAAGACTTCCACTGCATCAGCAACTCAGTGCAGTGTTCCATGCCCTGGTCTAAAACCTGACTGAAAAGAGTCCAGATAATCCCATTTTCTCTACAAAACCCTGCTGTTGGAGCCCCACCAACTGCCTTCCCCATAAAGGAAAGGTTAGAGATTGGATGATAGTTGTCCACTGTGGCTGGATCTACTCCTTAAAGAGGGCCTTGAGCCATACAGAGATTTATATGGATAACAAGCATCTTGAGTTTGGCATGAAAAATTATCAGGAGCCAATACAGCTTTCATGTTATATGCTTTCAGTGAATACTGCTAATAGGCGGCTGCCATATTTTGAAGCTGCTGAAATTTCCATGCAATAGAATGGCAAATTATCCACTGATGGAAGTAAGGGCTCCTAGCCATTATACTGACCTGAGCACTCAGGGACTGTGAAAGGTCCAGATTGTTTCCTAACTACAGGTTTGATGCCTTAGAAGGGAAAAAAACAACACCTCAGGACAAAAAATACCTCTTATAATTATTGAGAGCCCCTGCAACCACTAGATCTTCAGACTTGTCTGGATTCAATTTCAATCTATTATTTCTCATTCAGGCTGTAAGCTGGTCCAGGTAGGAACCAATTATAGAGTTTGATATCTCTAACAAAAATGGAAAAGATAAATACAACTAGGTATGTTCTGAATTCATGCCAGCAACAAGTAATGGGGCTAGAAACCTATTGTGAAAACTACTTCTCATGTACTCAGGTTCAAAAAGATTGAAACCAGATTAGTCCATTGCTAAAACAAGACATAGGTAGAAATTGTCCTCCTGCCACAAAAGAGAATAGCTTCAAGCCTCTTACACTGTCAGACAGGAAAAATGTACCAGAATGTAAACCTTGATTCCACTATAAATATGGCTTGCATTTGCTACATAGCTATCACTGGAATTCTTTCTTAACTCCTTCATTAGCTTTTTTTTTACAATAAGCCTACTTAGCAGAACTTCTGTATTCTTAAATACCTTTTGTTCCTACTTCTAGGCTAACTTGTCAAGAGAGGCCTGACACCTATGTTTCTGATGCAGAAAACATTAATTATACAGTCATTGTAGCAGATGTGATGGGACTTTCTTAGTCTTCCAGAAATCTTATAGTGCTTTAATATTCTTTCCATACATGGGATCCACTTCTCCTAGCTATATAGGACAAGCTCTAGAACTTGCCATAGCTTAATGGAGGACAATAAAATTGCATTACAAAGTTTAATTCTTAATATTAATTTTCAGGAGAAAGTTATGAAAAGCATCATACAGAAACTCAGTGTTTGGCCAGTTAGTGACTGCAAAATAACTGTAGAACGCAATCATGTCTGGATGCCTTTCTTTTTACTCAACTTCCAATCATTACATCTCTCATGATTTTAATTGCTTCTGTTTGCTGATGACTGCAAATCTCACTATCTCTCCTGAGTCAAACAATAGCATTCTTTGGTTTGTTATACAGTAGCAGCAGCCAAGTGTGGAATATAGTAAGAAGTTATTGAACTGATAAGACCTGCATCATTGACCTAGTATGAAGACAGAC